TTGTTGAGGTCTTCTGATGAAATGTAGCCCTGTTTCTTAGCTTTCAGTTGGTTTTAGAATTTCTGGATTTGGACTTAGGTAGACGGATTTATGATGTTTCCGCTAGAATGCGTTCTGTGAATCTATTTTTGTGATTCCGGTGTAGTATCTTGCATTTTTAACCTGGTTACACTCGAAACTGGGTTGAGTGACCTTCTGGAATATTGTAGCCCTATCTCTTAGCTTCGAAATGGTGGGTCTTGAACCTTTATTCGACAATCGTAGTGCCTTTGGTACCATTACCGCAAAATGACGTCAAAACCTGTTTTTCTGATTTTGAGCTTAACTTTCATTTCCAGACTTTTTCCTTGCTTGACTTGTCTTTGTACTATTTGGAGCTTGCTGAATGACTATTGGATGAACTTGTTGTTGTGTGCGTACCTTTGGGACTGGCTGAGGAAATAATGAAGCCATGATGGCTGGAAAAGTAAGCAAATTTAGGGGAAGTGCTGTCCGAACTTTTAAAGGACTTGTTTGCATTGAATTTGTGATCTAAGACTTGGATTTGAGCATGGCAATGATATATGATGGATGGTTTCTGAGCCAAGGAGGTGAGTGATCTCAAACTATTTATAAAGTTATTTATGAACCGTTTCCTGCATTATTTACTTTTGAACTGTTTCCAGAGTTACTTTTGAACCGTTTTCTTGCATTATTTACCTTTAAACTGTTTCTAAAGTTACTTTTGAACTGTTTTCTTGCATATCATGCGTGCTTGCATATGAGTGTTCCTTGTTGCTGTATTCCTTGATTTATTGGCTTGTTATTATTGATTGATAATGTGTTAAGTGCTTTCAATGATTGTTAAAACGAATTTTCTAGGCGAGTGTGTACTTTATCGCACTCGACCTAAATAAATATGAAATTTTCAATGATTAATGATTAAATGCTAGTTGCGCATGAATGTAAGCCGTTTGGCTGAACTGGCCACTGCCCTTTGTTACCGATCGACTCGAGCCAGAAGCGGACTCGGTAGGCCGATAGGGTGACCCTGGGTGAATTTGGTATACTCGAGTATTACCTTGTAGTCCGGCTACGTCCGGATGGGTGGAGTCCGGCCAATGGTCGGATGGGTGGAGTCCGGTCAACGTCTGGAAAAGGGGATGAACGAACAAAAGGATGAACGAGGGATTCTACTTACAAAAAATGTATTTTCAAACGATTGGAGGAATAAGGGGAAATGTCAGGGGAACGAACGAACAAACGAATAGCTCCATGTGAGCCGTATCCTTTTAATGAATGTTACTATCGCTTTCCATTGTAAATGTTCCTTGAATTATTGATACTCCATTTTAATGTATTGTAAATGTTGTAATTGTTTCTGGACTTATCATTTGATTTATGACATCGTTGAAATGAACTATTGTGAAACCGATTTGATTACTGATTTTAATGGTTACTCGCTGAGCTTCTAGCTCACCCCAAAAATATTTTATTCCCCTCCACAGGGTTCGTGGCGAAGGAAGGACTTGTAGTACTTGTTCACGTGACTGGATGGCATATATCTTGTATAATTTGGATTTGGAATCATTTTATGTATAGTTGAGAATCGTTTCCGCTTCGCGTATGACATGTAATTATTGGAGACTTGGATGTATGTTTGTGCACCATGTGATGTATATTTGAGATTTATATTGCAATTCATTTAAGAATTGTAGTGAACGACTGAGTCCCGGCGAGAGTTGGGCAGGCGACCCGTCGAACCCTGGAGTACGCCCTATGGAGAGGTTGGGCCGTCACAGGACTGACCTGAACAGGCAATTTCAAAGGGGACTGGCCCCCAACAGGAATTTAAAATCGGGACTGACCCCAACGTGAAATTTAAATTTGGGACTGACCCGAGGGGACTGGCCCCAACATGAAATTTAAATTCAGGACTGACCCGAGGGGGCTGACCCCAACAGAAAATTTAAAATCGGGACTGACCCGAGATAGGAAATTTAAACGGGACTGACACGAACAGAAAATTTAAATTCGGGACTGACCCTAGGGGACTGATCCCAACATGAAATTTAAATTCGAGACTGACTCGAGGGGGCTGACCCCAACAGAAAATTTAAAATCGGGACTGACCCGGGACAGGAAATTTAAACGGGACTAACCCGAACAGAAAATTTAAATTCGGGACTGAACCGAGGGGACTGACCCCAACATGAAATTTAAATTCGAGACTGACTCGAGGGGGCTGATCCCAACAGAAAATTTAAAATCGGGACTGACCCGAGACAGGAAATTTAAACGGGACTGACCCGAACAGAAAATTTAAATTCGGGACTGACCCGAGGGGACTGACCCAACATGAAATTTAAAATCGGGACTGACCCGAGATAGAAATTTAAACGGGACTGACCCGAGGGGACTAACCCCAATCATGAAATTTAAATTCGGGACTGACCCGAGAGGACTGACCCCAACATGAAATTTAAAATCGGGACTGACCCGAGACAGGAAATTTAAACTTGACTGACCCCAGGGGACTGACCCCAATCATGAAATTGAAATTCGGGACAGACCCGAGGGGGCTGACCCCAACAGAAAATTTAAAATCGGGACTGACCCGAACATGAAATTTAAAATCGGGACTGACCCGAGACAGGAAATTTAAACGGGACTGACCCGAACAGAAAATTTAAAATCGGGACTGACCCGAGGGGACTGACCCCAATCATGAAATTTAAATTCGGGACTAACCCGAGGGGGCTGACCCCAACAGAAAATTTAAAATCGGGACTGTCCCGAGACAGGAAATTTAAACGGGACTGACCCGAACAGAAAATTTAAAATCGGGACTGACCCGAGGGGACTGACCCCAACATGAAATGTAAATTCGGGACTGACTCGAGGGGGCTGACCCCAACAGAAAATTTAAAATCGGAGAAATTCCAGTTTACTTACCTGAAAATAGCCTCAATTCAAAATTTTCATTTCAAGGTTACGTTTTTGCTTTTGAGTCAAAAGTTGATTCTACATCACCGTTTTGTTGTGCCTTTGATCAAACCTGCTTGCAACTTGTCCGATCTGCCTTTGTCTGTTGGAAAACTTTCGATACTGACTTGAGTGCGAGATGTTATTGTTTTCCTCCATGCATGAAATTTTCCTGCAGAAGAGAAAAAAATAAGAAAATTGCTACCATCATTTGACCCGGTTCCCTTTGAGAATCGTGTAAACATGAGTCCTTTGATGCCTTTGTCCAATTCGGCTGTAGTATCTGATTTAGTTGGATTTATTACTTCAAAGGCTCTCTGATTCTTCTCAGGCCGACCGGGAATGCCTTTAGCCATATTATGAGATCTGTGTAACAGGCTCCGTTGAATCACAACCATTTCCCAAGATGACTGAATCCGAACGTATACTTTGCACAAACCATGGGGAATTGTCATTTATTAAAACTTAATGATTTAGAAAAAATGATGTATGATAAATTCACATGTCATGCAAGGATGAATATGCAAAAGGATGTAAACAATCATGCCTAATCCCATGAAAATGGCATGAATACAAATATTTGAGGAAAAATGAATTCCATAGGAATGTATTTGCAAAAGAGTATCTATTCAAAATGAAACAGTTTGTGGCCAACAAACGCCATATTCGAATCTCTGGATATCTTTGTTCCGGAATTCAATATTGACAGAAGTGGTACAAAACGAAAAGAAATCCAAATAAACCAAGTCACAACCTGTTCCTCCTCGTGCTCGTTCGTTGCAGAACCCTACCTTGGTGCCCTTTCGGGTTTTCACCAAGGTTGCCCCCACCCTTTTTGCTTGTTGTTTTTTTTTATTTTTTTGTTTTCTTCTTTTTTCTTTCTTCTGTTTTAATTTTTTTTTGGAGGTGCCCTTTCGGGTTTTCACCTAAAGAACGAGGGAAAAACTCGGCCATGATCGACTCAAATATGTGAGTTGAGGATTGCTGGTATCAGTAAAATGCGCTTCCCTTATAAGTTTAGGTGAAGGCGTTATGGACATCACTTGCCAGTTGATTAGCGAATTTCCTAATAGAAATATAGCAAGTGACGAAAGCCAGGACTTTGGGCTTTTGTAATGAGGTCAGGTGGGGTGTTTTCAAGAAAAGTTAAGGCTTGAAAGCAAATTTTGATGAGAGGTGTGAAATAACTTGAGACTGCATCATTTGAAATCATCTCCAATTTCGAGCGAAACTGAGGAAAATTTGCCCCAGTTTGATTGAATTCTCTCTTTTTGTATTTTTCATTGCATTTTCCTCACTTTTGCATTTTTCTTCAAAAAACTAAATTTGCCCCAGTGTGGGGTTCTTTTTTCCTTCTGATCATCTCTTTTCAAAATGAATTTGCCCCAGTGTGGGATTTGCAATTCTCAGGGGCTGCCAAACGAAAATTATGGTTCTGATAGCTCAAAGGGGATGACTAGGGATGAAATGTTTTGATTGGAAAGGAAGATGGCCTGACTTTTGCCTCGCCTCTTGCATGATTTTCTAAAAGAAATTTGCATAATCAAATAAAGAACTTCTTACACATGTCTGAGTTGATAGATTGAGGGAATGTCTGTCCATCCATCTCTGCCAAAATGAGTGCTCCGCCAGGTAATACCCTTTGAACAATGAATGGCCCTTGCCAATTTGGAGCAAATTTGCCTTTGGCCTCATCCTGCACTGGCAAAATTCGTTTAACTACTTTGTCGCCTTCCTCAAATGTTCGCAAATGGACTTTCTTGTTGTAGGCCCGAGCCATGCGTTTTTGGTAACATTGGCCATGACAAATAGCATTAAGCCGTTTTTCATCAATCAAGGACAGTTGTTCAAAACGCTGTTTTATCCAATCAGCCTCTTCCAACTTGGTCTCCATTAAAACCTGCAATGAAGGGATTTCGACCTCGGCAGGTAGCACAGCTTCCATTCCATACATGAGCGAATAGGGGGTTGCCCCAGTTGAAGTTCGAATAGAAGTCCGATATGCCATTAGTGCATACGGAAGTTTTTCATGCCAATCACGGTGCTTTTCGGTCATTTTTTCGGATGATTGTCTTCAAATTCTTGTTTGCAGCTTCCACGGCTCCATTCATCTGTGGTCTATAGATGGCAGAGTTGCGATGTCTGATTTTGAACTGCTCACATAGCCCGTGCACCATGTCATTGTTGAGATTCTTGGCATTGTCTGTAATCAGTGTTTCTGGCACCCCAAATCGCCATATGATGTGATCTCTTAAGAAATTTGTCACCACCTTCTTTGTCACGTGCTTGAATGATTCTGCTTCAACCCACTTGGTAAAGTATTCAATTGCCACCAATATAAATCGATGTCCATTTGAAGCAGGAGAGTCAATTGTGCCGATCACGTCCATACCCCACATTGAGCAGGGCCATGGGGCAATCATGTTATGCAATTCGGTGGGAGGAACGCGTATGATGTCGCCATGCACTTGACATTTAATACATCTCCGGACAAAATCTATGCAATCGCGTTCCATTGTAAGCCAAAAATACCCAGTCCTCATAATCTTCTTCGCCAACAAATGTCCATTCATGTGAGGTCCACAGACATCGCTATGCACCTCTTTCATCATGTATTGAGCTTCATCTTCATCGATGCACCTTAAAAGGTTCAAATCTAATGTCCATTTGTATAATACCTCTCCATTTAGGAAAAATTTTGAGGCCATTCTGCGCAGGAAACCCTTGTCATTAGCAGTAGCTTCGGGAAGGTAAGACTCAGTTTTGATGAATTCCTTAATATCATTGTACCAAGGACTATTGCCAGAAGAATCGTCCACGACCCAACAATGAGCAGGCTTGTCTTGAAGTTGAATCTGGATAGGCTCGATTCCCAATTCATTTGGATATTGTATCATAGAAGATAAGGTGGCCAAGGCATCTGCAAATGCATTTCGGGCTCGTGGGAGATGTCTGAATTCCAAACTTTGAAATTGTCTAGCCAGATTGAGCAAATTACAATGGTATGGCAAGATCTTGGAATCTTTGGTTATCCATTGTTTCAGCGTTTGGTGCACAAGTAAATCTGAATCACTGAAGGCTATCAACTCTTTAACTTCCATTTCCAAAGCCATTTTAAGACAAAAAATACAGGCTTCATACTCGGCCATATTGTTTGTACAGGCAAATTGCAATTTAGCAGCTCCGGGGTAATGCTTTCCTTCTGGAGATACAAGAACGGCTCCGATTCCAGCTCCGAAAGAATTAGCGGCACCATCAAAAAACAACCTCCATTCGGGGCACCGCTCGCTCATATCTTCTACGGTACCAACAAATAAAACCTTTTCGTCAGGGAAATAGGTATGGAGTGGTTGATACTCATCGTCCTTTGGATTTTCTGCCAAATGATCGGCTATAGCTTGCCCCTTGACGGCCTTTTGCGAAGTGAAAACAATATCAAACTCTTAAAGAATCATCTGCCATTTGGCCAGGCGCCCAGTTGGCATCGGCTTCTCCAAAAGGTATTTCAAAGGATCGGAGCGGGATATGAGATAAGTGGTATGACTTAGCAGGTAGTGTCTCAACTTTTGAGCCGCCCAGGCCAATGCACAACAGCTTTTCTCAATAAATGAATAATGAGCCTCATACTGAGTGAATTTCTTGCTAAGATAGTAGATGGCCTGTTCTTTCCTTTCGGAAACATCGTGTTGTCCCAGAACACAACCCACTGCTCCGTCGAGTACGGATAAATACATGATCAAAGGCCGGCCCGGTTTGGGTGGCACTAGGACCGGAGGCTGCAACAAATAATTTTTAATCTTGTCAAAAGCCTGTTGGCACTCTTCATTCCAATGCAACGGCACATTCTTTTTTAACAACTTGAATAGTGGCTCGCACGTAGCGGTTAATTGGGCAATGAATCTTCCAATGAAATTAATCTTGCCTAAGAAACTTTTCACATCTTTCTGCGTTTTCGGCACTGGCATGTCTTGAATTGCCTTGATCTTTGTCGGGTCTATCTCTATGCCCCTTTTGCTGACAATGAATCCCAACAGTTTACCAGCTGGTGCTCCAAAGGCGCATTTCGCAGGATTTATGATAAGGCAAATTGTACTTCCGCAACCTTTCGAACAACTTTCTTAAATCAATCAAATGGTCTTCTGCTTTCCTGGACTTGATTATAATGTCATCCACATAAACCTCCATCTCCTGGTGGATCATATCATGAAACAATGTAGTCATAGTCCTTTGATAAGTAGCTCCGGCATTCTTCAAACCAAACGGCATTACTCGATAGCAAAAGGTGCCCTAAGGGGTGATAAATGCAGTCTTTTCTCTATCCTCCTCAGCCATTAAGATCTGATGGTACCCAGCAAAACAATCACAGAAAGATTCAATTTCGTGTCCGGCAGTGTTTTCTAGAATGATATGGATATTTGGCAAAGGAAAGTCATCTTTATGGCTGGCCTTATTAAGGTCCCTATAGTCAACACAGACTCGCACTTCTTCATTTTTCTTTAGAACGGGGACTGGATTCGAAAGCCAAACAGGGTAATGGGATACAATGATAATATTAGTCTTAAGCTACTTTTCAATTTGCTCTTTTATTTTGAGGCTCATATCTAGTTTGAATTTACGGGGTTTTTGTTTTACTAGTGGAAAAGCAGGGTTTGTAGGTAATCTGTGCACCACTATATCCGTCAAAATGCCAGTCATATCATCATAAGACCATGCAAATACATCTCGAAACATAGACAAAAATTCAACCATCTCCTCTTTCTGCTTTTTGTTCAAATGAATACTGATTTGTATCTCCTTAATCTCAGTCTCAGTGCCAACGTTGACAATTTCTGTTTCTTCTAGGTTTGGTTTAGGTTTCTCCTCATATTGTTGGAGATCTTTTGAGAAAAAATCATATACCTCCTCACTATCACTCTCGCTTTGAAATTCAGGTTCCGTAACTTCCAAGTCGTGAGTGATATAGAGATTGTCATCATTGGATTCCAGAACAGTGATATCCATAGGGGCAAATAATTTTATTTTTGGCCATCTGAAAAAATTAAGAAATTCGAGACAATAAGCAAATAGACACATGAATGAATGGCATGATAAAACAAACTATGCACTTTCATAAAACTTCAAATTAAAACGGAAACAAGCTTAAGACATAAGTGCGAAAGATGCTTTCATTGAACTATTTACATAGGCAAGAAAAGTTTTCATGAACTTTAGTAAATGACAACCCTCTGAAGATTTACCGAAACTCTTTTCGTATGGGGAAGTACTCGGCGATCCAGTTGTGTATAGCTCCTTGGGGAATGTCTGAGAATTCAGCATCATCTGGCGGGCCATTTTCGGATATTGCACCCACAAACAAATGAGTCAAACTTGTCTCCACTTCGTCAATTGGGCTAAACTCAGATGTAATGACTTCAGCTGGCTTTGGAAAGGTATAGCGTAATGGCGGAATGTCTAAAGCACCTAACTTGCCTTCCTTTTCTGCCTTTTTGCGCGCTTTCATCTCTTGTATGTCTCTGGCAGTCGGACGGAATCCCAACCCAAATTGGTCCTTCTTTTCGATGAGTTCCACGGGTTTCAGAATGCCTTGCAGATTGCGCCCCAATCCCTTATTGAATTTATATCCTCCGCGAATCATCTCCTTGGCCATCATAACACTGGCCATTGGCAAAACCCTTTCGTCTTTTGAATCCTCGCTCGTTATCCAACTCACAGAGACAATATCAGCTGTACGATAAGAAGACACTGAAGCATTTCGGTTACCATCCTCCTTAGGCTCGGAATCAGTGATTACAATGCAATCTTCTTCAGCAAAAATGGTTATCAGCTGGTCGTTCACCACAAATTTCAGCACTTGATGCAGGGAAGAGGGTACAGCGCCCGAGCTATGGATTCATGGCTGTCCGAGCAAAACATTGTAGACACTAGGAAAATGCATAACTTGGCAGGCTATTTGAAATTGAGCGGGCACCATTTCGACCACCAAATTTACTTCTCCTAGGGACTCTCTTTGGGCTCCGTCAAATCCTCAAACTACGGTCTCTGAGGGTTTTAGTTTGGCATCTTGCAGCCCTAATTTCACCAACGTGCTCCAAGGACAAATATTAAGGGCAGACCCATTGTCGATCAGTACCTTAGGCAACATTTTCCCATTGCACCTCACAGCTACATACAAGGCCTTGTTATGACCAGTTCCTTCCGCAGGCAGCTCTTCATCAGAAAAGGTGATTTGTTTGGAAGTCAGTACATTCCCAACTATATGCGAGAAATTGTCAACCGAAATATCGTTGGGAATACGAGCCTTAGTCAACACTTCAAGTAATGCATCCCTATGCAAGTCTGAGGTGAAAAGCAAGTCTAGGATCAAAATTTGGGCAGGCATTTTGTTCAATTGCTCAACCACATTGTATTCTCTTCTCTTAAGCCTCTTGAGAAAATCCCACGCTTCTCTTTCGGTCAGTGCAGGTTTGGTAGTCGGTTCACAATTGCTTCCTTGGACTGGGGCACTAGCGGCGGATGGACTGGTAATCCTCCCTGACCTCATAACAACAGACACTTCTTCCTTCAAAACTGGTTTTCCTCCGATTTGCAAAACGGGCTCACTATAATTCCACGGCACTTGTTGTAGGCTTAAAACTGGCGCTTGTTCTGGGAGTTCAATTACTACAGGTTCTAAGGCCGCACTTTCAGATGGGGTTAGGTCTAAAATGAAGGGCTTTTTGTCTTCCTCATACGATGCCTCCTCTATCACAAATGGTTGGTCCATTATCCCAAATACTTCTGTCTTATTTGACACGCTTCGGACAAGCTCCTCAAATTCCTCATCATCCATAATAACTCCCACAGTATCAGTGTGCTCCGGCAAGGGGTTCTTGCTCACATTCGGTCCTTGCTCTTCTCTCTTCCTAACCACGATTTCCCCTGCTTCCAACATGTCTTGAACCTTATGTTTAAGGAGTCGACAATTAGCCGTGGAGTGACCGGGCGCTCCGGAATGATAAGCACAAGTAGTCTGTGGATTATACCCAACCGGCATGCCATACGGGTAAGTTGGAGGGGGAATCACGCCTATTTTACCGGCAGCCTTTAATTGTTCATACAACTGATCCAAAGGCCTGCCAAGGTTGGTGAATGTTCAGGTGTGATTTTGATTGTAGGCTTCAGTAGGTTGGAGATAGTTATAGGTGGGTCTGTTCAGTGGGGGAGCTCTTTGATGGTAAGGGGGTCGAGGACGAGTTTGTTGAAAGCTAGGTTGGGATATTTGGAAAGAGCCCGTAGGCGGGTTGGCGCAGTTTGGACGAGGTCGGGGGTGCGAGATATTGGTACTGTAGACAGGGTAGGGGCTTGGATAGTAGGGATAAGGTGAATATATTGGTTGGTGTTGAAATCGGGGTCTTGGTGTAGGGTTTTGATCCCAGATGAAGGCAGCTTCCCCCTCTTTCTTCTTAAATTGCGGTTTTTTCCCACTATTCCCTTGTCCTTGTAAAGCATCCAACTGGGATTTGAGGGCAGAGACATTAACAATCTTTCCAACTCTTACAAAGTCATCGAACTCTTCAAGCTTATTGACAATAGCGGCAAACGAGCATCCAGTCATGCGAAAAATTTCTTCAAAGTACGGCGGATCATGTGCCTTAATGAAAGTGCGGATAATTTTGTCCTCGGTCATTGGTGGCTCGACTTTTGCAGCTATTTTTCTCCATCTCTTGGCATAAGTCTTGTGATCCTCGGAAGGTTTTCTCTTCGTTCCTTCCAACGTGGTTCGTGTCGGAGCCAGCTCGCAGTTATACTCGTACTGCCTCACAAAAGCATTGGACAAGTCAATCCAGGTTTTCACTTCTTCGGGCTTCAGGTTGGAGTACTAGTCGAGTGCATCCCCCTCCAGACTTTCGGGGAATAACCTTAAAGGCAAATTCTCGTCGTCTACAGGCTTTCCCAACTTGTTAGCAAACAGCCGGAGATGTGTTTTGGGATTGCCTGTTCCATCATACTTGTTAAATTTAGGGGTTTTGAACCCCTCAGGCAACTGTATATTCGAAAAAAGGCAAAGCTCGTCGTAATCCAGAACTCCTTACTTGTTTAACCCTTGACTTTTCCTCATAAATTCGTCAAAACGGTCAAGGCGCTTAAGCAGCTTCATATCAACGGGAGCGGAAGATTCCCCTATTTCTGGCTTGGTTTGAACAGTATGGTCTGGTAGGAATGGCTCAGCAGCAGGGTGACAAAAGGTATGTGACTCAGGTGGTATATTTGATGTGATGTGGGGTTGTGGACCTCGCATATGAGTAGGAAAAAATGGAGGATTAGGGGGTAAGTGTATGGCAAATTTGTGGTAGGATAGGTGAAAGTTTCTTCGGGTGAAATAGGGAAGGGTGGAGTAACAGTGGCTTGAGTCGAAGATATGACAAATGGCTCTTGCTCAGGCTGTCTGACAGGTACAGGTTCGGGTTGAACTCCGCTGCTGATTAGCTCGTCAATCAACTTTCTTTGGGCTGCCATCTCGGTAGCCATCTCACCAAATTTAGTGAGCATTTCGGTTAGCTAAACCCCCAAACTCGTAGTCTCAGGCTGGGCGGTAGTAGCAGACCTGTCCGATTGTTCTGGTTGTGAACTCATGTTTACACGACTCCTCTGGGCTCTACTGCGGGATCGCGTTATGATGGGGTTTCGACGAGAAGCTATGTTTAAATATTACCTGAAAATATGAAATGACTTGCTTTTAGATTTAGCCCTGGCTTAGCTTTTCCAACAAAAATAAAACAAAGAAAAAGAAAAAGACAATAGTTAGTAGATATCCAAAAATTCGGATGCATGTCCTATTGGGGGGCCCTTTTTGCGCCAAGGGTAGGCCTAGTATGATGCAACACCTTCGAAATGGGACCTGTAACACAAACCTGTTTTTGACAACAATGCTAAATAAGTGCAAAAGAGAAATCGCTTTCATTGATAAGGCTTGTCAATATTTACATCATGTCACGAAGACGATTCCGTACAAGATTGCCAAAACTTCTGAGCCTATCTAATACAGAGTCCCTAGTTTCTCTAGCATATGGAACTCTAACATGTTCAGCTTGGTCATACAATTCTCCGCACTTCCTTTTCAGCTCTTGACGCTTTTCTCGTTCATTTTCATATAGTTGCTTGTTTTGCTCCGCTATCCCTTTGTATGTCTCGACAGACTTACTTAATTGCAGAATTTCTTTATCCTTTGCTTCGATAACAGCTTTCAACCTTTTCACCTCCTCGGCTGGCTCATCTTGTGTTCCTTG